TTGCAGGCTTTCATGGAGTTGATAGGAATCTCGAAATTCCTTAGAATGCAAGTAAAATGTAAACCCGGTATCATATTGGAGGTTTTGTTAATTCCTTACTCAAATTTTATAATGCATACAGAACTATTTGCTATACCAGTGGCACATCTTCTGGGTTTGTAATTACTTTTAAAGTTTAAAGTACTGTATGTTTTTAGTTCCTGCATAGGTATACTGTACAATACTATATTAAGGGTGGTAAACTAAATCAGGGATTAAAGCCAATGGAGGGAAAAAGCTGACATTTTGGTTTGGATTTCAGATTCTTTTTGTATTGTACACTTAGGTAGTCTATACTAGATATTTTACCTTTTAGTATGTGTCGTTATGAATGTTAATGTGCATAATGCCAAAACAGAGATTTTGTACTTTTATATTTTGGCATGTTATTCACTCAAGGAGATTAACAGAACAAGAGTATAACATTGTAATGATAAAAGCAAAGTATGCATGCAATAAAATGAAAAGACCTGTTACAAAAATAGTTATTAGCACAGTGTGCGTTATACCTGTGCCTATAGTTGTTGCGCCAGACCTCACAAGTTACCCAGCATGCCAGAATCATACAAATAGACCAATAGTTTTGTTTGGCAGAAAGTTGACAACTTTCACCTCAGAGAACATTTTTTTGTATTAAATGTTAATGATTTTACATATTTGTGTTTTTATTCAATTCGTAATTGTTATTATGCGTGTCTTCTGCTACTCGTTCACTTTCCATCTCCTCCTTTTGTTCTTGGATGGCAGAGTTGCTGGGTCTTGCTGACTTGCAACGCATCCTAGGATGAGACAGCAGGTAGGAATAGGAGAGGAATGGACAGGTATTTATATGCTGTCAATAGGTATGTCAAGGACTTTGAAGAAGAAGCTTCTGTTTCCTCTGTAAAACTGCTTAGCTTCTATTGCATCTCTAGTAACCTCATAAAGAGACGAAAGACGAGCCACTTTCCACTCTTAAAAAAAAAGAGTCTGTAGGGCATTTTTTTTTTCCACTGAACTTTGTTAGATGTGAATCGGATAACAATGTGCATGACTGATTTTAAAAATGTTTGACTTGGGACAGTCCTGTTTTATAAACTAGCTGGTGTTGGATGTGTCTGCCCTGTAAAATGCATTTTTTTCACCACAATTTTTATAAAGCCATCTTTCTAACCGTGTTTGTTTTGTGTGTTTCCTGGGCACCCTACAATCTTTTTAAGGTTGTAGGAATTTTGATACTGTCTGTTTTTTAGACGGGGGCGAATTATTATTGTCTAATTAAAGTAATTCTTGCAGTTGTCTAGAGCACATCTGGTTTTCAATGGGTTCAGCACTGAAGATGCTGCACTTCTGAACAGTGCAATAATATTGACTACAGTAAACTGAGACACTGCTGTAACTGGATGAAAGAAAAGCTTTTAGCTCTTGTACAGTGCTGTTACTTAGAGAAGTGGAAGTCTGTGTTCCTCTCTTACATATTGTAAGCTCATCAAATCCCTGAAATCCACATGTAATTGCCTAAATTAGTGTAAAATCACTTTGGCAAGCTTGGACTGCTTTTAAATCATAATGAAAACCTTGAACATATTCCATACATGCCGAATCCAATCCTCCTCTTGTAATAACTGCTGTCCCAGATGTGTTGATGTGTTCTACAGTGACTGGACAGGAGAGAGATAACTGGTTGATTCACACAACGACTGGACAGGAGAGAGATAACCGGTTGTGTTTAACCTTAAAGGCTTCTTTTCCTTTTTTAACTTGAATTTATTTTTATTTTTTTCAGATTTGTTTAATTGAATAGCTATGGAGAATATACAACTCAAGCAATGTTTCTTAAAAACAGTGAGGTTTCCACTGTAGCTCTGCTGGAGTAAAGTCCGTTCTGTTGATGTCTGTGTACTTGACAAGTTACGCACTTCAGGGTATTTTTTAGAGCAACCCGGTCTTTCTGGGAACCATCCAGTTTGAATTCCTTAGAATTATAACTAATGTGATGAATAACTCCATATTCCCAGAAATTATATGGAGACTCAGTAGTGCATTTTCAAATGTGTGTCCAAGTTCTGTTCAATAAAACACTGTAATGCTTTTATATCATCTGGAGTGCCCTTATCTTTAAAAAAATTATAATTTAAATTGAAAGTTGAAAGAATCCTTTTCTAACGGCTCTAGATGCTTTTTACCTTCTCGGTTTGTGTTGATTGTAATCAATGAGCATTTTCTGGCCTAGTGGTGACATACTGTACAAGTGTCTTAGCAGCACTTTCCTAGCTACAGTACCAGAGATTCCAGCCAAGGGTAATTAGAGGTATTAGACTTATATACCAAGGGTTTTGCTTGTATGATGAAACAGTTGAACGTCTAATGTATAGCTATGAAATACATAATTTAAACGGATGCCTTTGTAGTGCTTTTTTTGCCTATAGAATAAGTTTTAAAGTTAATGGTCTCTTTCTTCCATGAGATATGGACTCGCCTTTTAAAGTATTTTAATGCCGCACATATGCACTGTCTACCTTCTGATTTACAGTATGTATAAAAAGCAAAATATACTAGGACTAGCAATATTTCACTGTTCGCTGTGGGCTGGCGTTATTTCATGAATGTTAGTCTTTGATGAAGATTAACAGTTAATCACTGTGTGACCATCTGTGCCAAGACAGAAAAGCAGGTATTGCATCTTTTTTTTTAATTCTCTTTCCTATTCCAGCTGTGGCTTTAAAAAGAAGCTCATCTGAGTTTTGTTATAATAAAAAAAAAACCAAGGCCAGTGTTTTACATCCACACCTGAATATTACATCAAAGTTTATTCGCAATGTTTTGTTAACAAAAGCTTTTCAGCACATAAATATTATATATTACACAAGTATTAGAATACTGTACAGTCAAATATAGTGAATAGTTGCTCCATAACTGTCCATCAAGATGACTTTGCAGCATCAGTTTAGAATAGATTGATGGATTCCATAGTCATTAGAGGTAATGTCTTCCCGATTCAACTTCTAACGACATGTCTTTATCTGTTTCATTTGGTAAAACATTTACTGCCGTAAGGATAGCTCATTTTAGATACTAATCAGAAGGTTACCTTGAGGTATTACATTTTGTTGTTAATGACGCACGTAAAGTGAACTGTCTAAGAATGTATATGATTGCTCTTGATTATTTTTGGGGTGTTAATCCAAATAAGATCTTTAATAGGTTTGGTGTTCATCTACTTTCTTGTTTAGGTGTAATATTTTACCAGCAAAACACTACCAAACAAGCAGAGCTTCACCAGTCGTTTTTAGCACAGAGTTTATACTTTGTTCAGTTTCTCTTTTCAGAACAAATTAGCCTGGATTACTGAACATAAATAGTACATTCAATATTCTTTTTTTTGCCAGTTTGGATAATAGATTTTTGTAATGGAGGAGAAATTCACTCATTTGAAAGGTTTATGTTAATTATTACTTGCCAGTTCCTAATTAAAAAATGATTAATTTGGCCATTCCAAAATCTTTAATTCAGTGAAAAGTCATTTACAATATGATGAGCGTAAAAAGGGACATCTTTTTATAGTTAGTAGCCACCTAAATGATAAAGGATGTTCAAAACAAATGTGTGAGAAGAGGAATGTTGATGAGTGAAACATGGCAGTAATGTCACTGCACAAATTTTGCTTTCCCAACAAAGTAAGTTAAATTCATTTAACCTTTTACATAAAAAAAAATTGTTCAACTAATTTTTAAAAATAACTCGGGCTTATTCATTAGTTTTTTTTCCTGTCCTCTTTCTTGCTCTAACCTTTTCTAAAGTCTATAATGTATTAAGAATAATACTGGTAAATATGTCTTGTAAACAGGCAAAATATGTGATTTATCTATTAGGTGAGTAAGACTAATAATAAATACATAGAATATATTGTAAATGATACTACTTGCAAAGTATTATTTTCACAAGTCAAAATTCTCAAAGAAATACACACTGTGGTCAGTGTTCTTTACTGAATCAAGCTCTTGTGTGTAACAGACAGTGTAGCAGGTGATCACTATTGCAGTAAGCACATTGTTGTGAAAAATGGATAATTTAAGACTGAATTGGAAGTTGATGGGTAATAAGTAAGGCAAAATCTGAATCCACAAGTAAAACTACCACAGTATTTTATCACCAAGTATTGTGAAATTTGTAGTGTTGTTGCAGCCTTAATACGAACTATACTTATTTTCCACATTACGAACCCTGTGCTGTCAGTAATTTGTATTACAATGCTTATTTTGCATTATCACAAATATCAAAGAAAATGGAATTCTGAAAAACACATGAAACCAGTTGTGTAATGCCATTTTGTTAGCCTTTGTGATAAGAGGCTTGTTTGTGTTTGCCTGACCGCTCCTGGATTATAATATATTATGTCCAGATGTTTCACTCTATAATTTTCTTATAAAAAGACATGCCCTGAGATTCCAAACCCAAAGCAGCAGTGCGTTTGTTGTAGATAGTAATTAGTCCTTGGCTTTTTTAGAGACAAACCCAAGAGCAGCGCAGAGTTAATGTGATTTGCTATTCTAGACACGACGTTTCCTTTCTTGCTAAGCTGTGCTACGCTGCATTCTAAGAGCCCCAGATGAGAAATTGTCAGCTAGAAATAAAGCTGTATCAGTACTATCCTTCACATAATAAACCACCATCTTACAGTTGGTCCTCAAGCTGAACAGTTTCTCTTGTTTTTAAGCCCTGACCCTACTGTCTGGAACACTTCCTTAAATTCTTATGTATTCACTGATATGCCTGACTCGTTAATCCAAGCCATAATTTAATTCTTAAAATCGGTTAAGCTTGCCTTTCTTTCCATTTGTAACCCCAATTAATCTTAAACTTATCCTTTCGTCTGCCCTCCGGAGGGAAGGAAGATTTTTACACATCCATTCTCTGAAGGGATAAGAACTATTGGATTCATCTCATCGGTCTTTCTCTTTCTCTGTTTTTTTTTTTTCCAGTCCAAGTCTGATGGCCAAAGTCTGCTGACAGAGGTGTTCAAGCGGTTCAATATCATTGAGAGTGACTACTTCGGCCTCGAGTATCAGAACCTGCAGATGAACTGGGTATGTTTCACTCATAACCTGACAATTAAGATCTGCTGTTTCTATTTTCCAAAGCCATTGTAGGCTCACAGACCACGGATAATACCAATTTACAGGGATTCTCGGTTCCGTCTTCTTTTAAGCATGCTTGTAAAAAACATCTTCAAATGAACAGAGAAGAAATCTGTTAAAAAAAAGAAGTAATTGAAAAGTGCTGCCCCTATGTGATGTAAGTGGTCTCTGCTAGTCACACAGTTTTTATACTGTGCCTTTATAAATAAGGTAGTCCAGATCACTTCCTTAAAGGGGATCTGTAGTCCCAATTTCTCAGACTGGTTACTAAACCTTGGTAACAAAGTAAATTTGTTGATGTTATAGATACATTTTATAAATTTCAAATTAAGCATGGAATTGTGAACTTTGTGAAAGGACTGTTCGTTGTGGCCCTTCCTGCTCACTAGTCACTGGTAATGACAAATGTGATGTACAGATTGTGTAGCAAACATTTCACTGCAGAAATATTCCAACGTGAGCTGCATGCAGAGTTACCAAGTAAATAGTATTTGTGGCAAAACCATCTTTTAAAGCGAGAGCAATATTTCTGTTGAATTAAAAGAGATGTATTCACAAGCCTGCCTCTTTACAATGTCAAAGGGCCGCAACCCATCACCCGGAGTCTTGTTACTTTGTTCTGAATCGCAGAACATGGCACTGCGTCTCCCTGAAAATGTTGTGTGTTTTGTAATGTAAATTGTAGGTTTTACAAGTTACTGTGTGCAGTTTACTTTTATTGTGGTTTGAAATGCATTAATCAGTGCCAGTTCTTTCTAACCCTCGAAATATAAAAATAGTCTAACAAAACCCTCCCAAAATCATCTTCAAGAGAACTGCAACACAAAAGTGTTTTTTGTGTTCAAGTATTTTCCCAGTTTTCTGCCTCGGAATTGAATTTGCCTTTGCTATGCTATTGATCCTGTATTAATGATTTTGCTGATAAAATAATTGGTCATGTATTTTGTCTCCACCCATCTGAATTCAGTAAGCTGTTTTCCTTAAAGCAATTTCAAGAAAGTTTAAGAGCAAACTAAATAGTTAGATTGTATATATTTGTAATGTTGAATAGTTTTACCCTCTCTTCTTTTTAAGCATATACCCCTCTAATGGGTGAATGAGCTCTATTACTAACTAAATCAAAACATGCAACCATATCAATTTTTCATCTAATTAATTGCATTTTCAGTATTTGAGGGCATCTTTGATGAAAACATCATCTTCATTTTTTATTTCTATAATTGAAATGAAATGGCTGACTATATACAATGGTTAGGAACTAGCGAGAACAAGTTATGGTCTCCTCACATCGGAAGAGACATCTAAAACATTTTTTACAAAAATGGGGGGAAACAATTGTCAATTCAAAGCCGATTAATGAAGGTCCATTTAAACCTGGAATGTCAAAATGTGTGTAGAGCCAACTATAAATGGATCCGTAAGTAGAGAATATGGTGCATTTCTGACTAGGCCTAGGGATGCTTGAATTAAAATCCAGATAAAAAAAAATAATTCTGCTAGATGAGATGATCAGAACTGTTGAGGTAAATTAAATTAAAGTCTCCATAACATCATAAAAACAAGGTACTGATTGCTTGTGCTTATTGTAATCTAAAATTTTGAAATTTGTAAGTCCTGTTTTAAAGGTAATATCAAGTGGTAATATCGAAACTTATATAAGAGTAAGAGTTAATCTATCGTCTGTTTCCCCTTATTGATTTCAGTGCAGGATACCTGTTCTAGACATTGCAATGACTGTAGACCTCTAGTTTTTACAGTAGTTCTTAACACCTTGCGGTGCTGTGGCCTGCCCTTCCTCAAGTTAAGGTTCTTGAGCAGCGAGGATTCAGAATATTCTGATGCTGTAGAAAGCACCCTTGGGGTAGTGAAGGTTGCGGGCAGTGCCGTGACTTAGTACTGCTTAGAGTAGAGTTCAGAAGCGGCATGGGGCTGTGATGACAGAGGTGCATTCCTCTTTCAATCAGGCCCAGATGTTCAGGGGAAGCAGGGCCTCTTCCCTGTGCTGCCCCTCAGTCAGAAAGAGCCACGAACTCTGTCACTTTGGTCCTCACAGCCAGTGTTATACCTCCCCTGACAGCCATCGCTGCCATTGGCCTCGGGCATTCTGGATGGATGCCTCCTGCCTGCCACCTTTTAAACCAGTGCTGTGTCCACAGATATACCAATTTCCACCTTAATCCACACTTGAAACACTGGAGGAATCATTTACAAGTTCCTGTGAAATTAAGATGTACGCTATGGACCATGTATTTTACACTAACTAAAATACAATCAAAATAAATTCCGTGCCTGGTACCATGACTAAATTAGCAGGAAATGCATACATGTTTGGAAATGCTAGCATTTAATTTCCCTGTGAGCTTTGTGATCTAGGCGTAGTGAAATCAGCGCCGTCAGAGAAGGGAACTGAAATGTCAACGATAGAGCTCTTAGATAAAGCAAGATCACTTTGAGCACAGTTGATGGGGAAAAAGGAGGGACAGGGCAGAAAGAAGGCGTTTCTGCTTACCAACTGAGTAATTTTCTTTCTTCATTTTTCAGATGTGGTTGGAGCCATTGAAACTCGTTGTAAAACAAGTCAGAAGTATGTATGAAGTTTTTCAGCAGCCGCTGTCTTTTTTTTTTCCTTTATTTTTTCTACACCACACTGTACATTCTGTGATAAGTTGTGTGTAGTGATCAGTTTGTGCTTGTTCCAGGGCCCAAGAACACCCTCTTCAGGCTGTCTGTGAAGTTCTTCCCTCCAGACCCTGGTCAGCTGCAGGAGGAGTATACCAGGTGTGGGAAAGTAACCCTCTGCCTTTCAGCTGTTCAGCTGTGGAGGTTTTCTAGTACAGCAGGAGCACATTCCATGCGTCCATATTTACTAAGGGAACTGTTTCATTGTAAGATGGTATCTTAAAAACAGCATGAGCTCCCTTTTATCATATGAGGCTTTTAGTGCCTAATGGATGACAATGTGCAGAATATAATCTGTTTTCTAAAGCTGTGCTGAATACTTTTTAATGGACATAAATGCACCCTGCTGGCAAAACATGGAAGTTAATAGTAAAATGCCCTGGGTGTGGTTTATTGCCTATCTTTTTCTTACAGAAAAGAAATGTGGATATGCATGGTACGCTTTCTGAATGTATGTGCCTTGCTATTAATTTTTAAAGTATTAGAAGGTGGTTTATGCCATTTCTGCAAATAACTCCGCAGTTAGGGTGTAGTTAAGGCTGTGGTCAGGATGTGGTTCTGTTACTAACATGCAATTTATCTACAGTAAAGATGGGTTAGTATCATATTTATGCCAATTTTTTAATACTATCTTAATGCCAGCATATATTGAGAACATTTCTAAAATGTGTGACATTTTTGGGTAACCATCTTGTTAGATATTTAACAATTTCCTTAAAGCATCTTTAGCATAGGTAAGATGGGGAATCAGTCTGTATAGCCAGACTGGAAAATATTGTTAAGGAAATTCTTGTGGTATGCTGTTTGCTGTAAAATCTTTTTTGTGATTTTGGAAGAGATGGATACCAGTTTCTGTGCTAATACAAATAATGTAGAACTTTCTTTCCTCTGCCTGATGCACAATTCTTCCTTGGAATGCAAATGAGTGAAATACTGATTAATTTAATCATCAAACGGTGTCTCGTTATTATCTCTCAGCTACTTTTATTGTTCCGTCAGTGTTGTAATAATAAAGTCCTTTCTGGTATCCTTTTTTTTACCTGTGTTTGCAAATCACTGTCCCACGTTCCTTTAACTGGGCACTGTTCTGTTGTAACAGTTTTGTAAAGCTCCTGATTGATTTATTAACCCATGACAGCTTCGCCTTCCTAATGTAGCATCACTTGATCGGCTCGCTGACTGTCGCCCGCTTGTGCGTTAGATACCTGTTCGCCCTCCAGATGAAGAGAGACCTGACGGAAGGCAGGCTAACCTGCACTGAGAACACCGCCGCCCTGCTGGCCTCTCACCTGCTGCAGTGTAAGTGCCCCAGCTGGGAGACACCCCCCTGCTCTTCTCCATGTCAGTGGCCAGCGACGTGTTCTGTTTTTTTTTTTTAATATGTGAATTATATATCACTTTTTCAGCGAGGACACTTTTGTAGTTTGGGGAAATTCTGCGCGTGTTATGCCAGCAAAGAGGTAGATAACTCAGCCATGACTGCAGGCTATAGGCATGATAGTATCTGAGCCGTTTTGAGTGTGGTACAAATCCTAAAGCCGAAATGTGAAACCAAGTAAAAGCTAATAAGCAAGGAAGTTAACAGAAGATACACCATCAGTAAGTTGGTGGAAATAAATTGTCACTGTTGGAATGATTTTATAAGGAAAAGTGTTAGCGCAGCCCAGACTGGACAAACATTGGCCCATCACAGTATGCTTCTGCTGATTAGTGAATATTCCCACTCTCCTTGTAATTAATGCAGCGGAAATTGGAGATTACGATGACATGGCTGACCGAGAGTACCTGAAACTTAACAAGCTGCTGCCCAACCAAGAGAGAGTACAGGAGAAGATCATGGAGTTCCACCGAAGACACGTGTGAGTGCCCCAGAGCCCACTCCTTACTGTGTGTGACTGCTGCTCCTGTAGTACTGGCCTGGAAAGACCCCCTTTGACCAAGCTGGTAAAGCATAATAAATGTACATATGCTGTTATTCAGGTCTTAATACTGCAGGTCCTAAACCTTTGTCTCTTCAGTGGTAATCATGTCCACCTTTTAGGCTACCATTACTAAAATTATCTAATTCTTGTGCATGCCTGGTTGTTTATAAATGAATTGTTTTAGGTTTATTGACTCTGCAGTTTGAAACATTATTTTCATACAGGAGAGTATTGCTGTACCTCACAGCATCACTGTCACATTTCTGTAACTTATCAGTCAAGGCGTCCTCGTGGAATTATTTTTTCTTTTGGTGAGCCTAGTGTTGACAACCTGTCTGAATTCTCCATGTTCTTTTTTTTTAAGTACTCGGATATTTTGTCCTGTATTAATTTGTCCTGTAATGGACTTGTCACTGACTGGTAATGAGACAATTTCACCTTTCAGCTATGTTGGTTATTTTCGACAAGGGAACACTGCCAGTGAGTCTGCCCTTCTGAAGGGTATTCAGCATTTTTTTTGTCTTAAGTATAACATTGAAGGAGCTGTGCATACTAATTAGCACTGTGTTTTTAGTCACAGGAGAACATTTAGTGCAGAGATAATAATTATTATTTTATTGTATATAATGTATAATGATCAGAAAACACATCTGTTCCACTGTATATGTAATTAAGGAGCTAAGGGCATGACCTCCGTTTTGGGAGTAGCTGCCAAATGATCCAAGGTTATTGTTTAAATGCCATAGCTTTGCTTGGGTATGCTGGTAAAATGGTAATACTGAAGTTCCGACATGATCAAAACATCTCGGGCAACAATCAGGCCTTCACACATGATGCAGTTTTAATCCCGTGACTGTATTTTAGCCCTCATGTCTCTAAAAACAAAAAAGCCTCTCAACTGTGTCGTTACACCTGGGATGCAGATTTTTCCTCTCGCTCCGGTTCAAACCTCCATGTCCTCGGCTGTGCAGTTATGAAAACGCCCTTGTTGGGAACGTGCTGTAATCCTTCCTGGCTCATCATGAGGGTTTGCCTGGTTCCGAGTCTGGACTGTAATCTGCACCCCAAGCCGTTTTATTAGCCAGATGGACAGCAGTACCTGGGAGGGCCATAAGGAGATTTCTGTGCTTAAAGGATGAGTAAAATTAGAATGTGGTGATGATCTGGAAAGCATCCAGAACACCAGGATTAGTTTAGCTGAGAGAAAAAGATTTGATGGATTTTTTTTTTTTCCTTGTTATGCGATTTATCTTATAATCATAGCAAAGCACCTTTCTTAAGATGAAAATAAAATGCAATTTGGTGAATTTCCTTTAAGGGTAAGGAGAAGGAGCTGTCTGTTCATCTGTAAGGAAAGGCTTGGAGGAAGAGTCGCGTTCTCATTTCAGAGAGCCCAAGACCAATTTCTTGCTTTTTCTTGCATACAGTAGTAAAACTAGCTTTGTGTACTAATAAACTATGGAATGTTTTGCATGGCATTCTGTCTCAACTAAGTTGCTGCAGGCTGGGGTCTTTTTATTTCCATTGTATGGGATGAGGATTTCTTTTTATTTTAGAAAACTCAACATTTCGCCTTAATTTGTATTTGTGGAAATGTCAAAAGTTTGAAATACCCCATGGGAACAGTTTTCCTGGGAAATCTTTATAGGATTTATTTTCTTTGGGGAAATATACATAACGGACTGAGAGAGGATTTGAAAACTACTGTGGGGCTAAACTAGCAATAACCACGTAGCCTCCAAAAAGCAAGAATACTGTAACGAGACGCTGGTGTATTAGTTTGGGGTTTTTTTTCTGCTCCTGGCTGTGATGGCTTTGCGGGTCTTCCACCAGCTGTTCTGCTGCCAGCTCACCGGGCGTCTCCTCTCGTCTCCAGGGGCCAGACTCCAGCCGAGTCAGACTTCCAGGTGCTGGAGATAGCCCGGAAGCTGGAGATGTATGGGGTGCGTTTTCACCCGGCCGCTGACCGCGAGGGAACCAAAATCAACCTGTCTGTGGCTCACATGGGACTGCAGGTCTTCCAGGTAAGCTGGCTGCTGCAGTGGCTTTTAGCTTGTGGTTAGTTCGATTTGTGCAAGCAGCTTAATTCTTCTGCGTTTTTTGTTTAGGGCAATACAAAGATCAACACCTTCAACTGGTCCAAGATTCGCAAACTGAGTTTCAAGCGGAAGAGGTTCTTGATCAAGCTGCACCCTGAGGTTCATGTAAGTATTCATAACTGGTAGAGGCTCAAGTAGCTTAATGTTTCAGTGAAGGCAGGACAGCAGGTATTTACAGTATATTCAGTGGGGGGGCAGTGCTGTTACAGATTTCAGAACAGAGGGTGTCTGTTCTTGAGCTGGGCTTTGCAATGTCAGATTACTCAACATAAAAAAATAAAGGAAAACTGTGCAATTGAGGTTGTATTTGAGACTGGACTTAGATAATTAGTCTTATTATACTGGAGCCTTTACAGATGTTTGCACCACTGCTTTTACAGTACCTCTGCCTGTGGTTGCACCTTATTGAACATTCCACTTGTTCCAGATGTATCCTATTTACTACTTTTTAGGGCTTCCTGGTACTGCAGTTCTTCTCATACACCGTTGCTCAACTTGAGTATAACTAGTGTCTTCCTTTTTTAACGTATGTCCTGGGTAGTGTTAGTCAAAGAACAGGAGAGCATGTGGAGTGAAGCACTGAAGTGAAGTAGGTCGGAAGAGCTGCAGATTGAAGCCCTGGTTCACAGAGACACAAGGGTGCATGCCACTTAGCTCTGGCACCTGTGCACTCCCTCTGCAACGCATCTTGAGTTGTGTTCCTGGATAGAGACTTGTGCTTCCCGCAATGTTTTTTAGGGTCCCCATCAGGACACGCTGGAGTTCCTAATGGCCAGTCGCGACCAGTGTAAGGTGTTCTGGAAGAACTGTGTGGAGTACCACACTTTCTTCCGCCTGTTTGACCAGCCAAAGCCCAAGTCCAAAGCCATCCTCTTCAGCAGAGGTTCCTCCTTTAGATATAGGTAACGGAGCTCTTGCTTCTCCGCCCGTACCTGTGATTCTTGAAAGCGAACCCACTTTTTGTTTTTTATCAAAGACATTCTGTTCACCTTTTTGTTGTACATCACTAGAATGTTTTTAAAAGAGGTATGATGCAGAGATGAGTCAGTGAAACATTTCAAGTCTTGATTCCATGTCTATTCTATTCTAGAGACTTCACAAATTCTTTAAAATTTGGATTTCCAAACAGACATGTCGCCTCATAGTTTTAACATGGTGCTAACCTGAATGTTGTTCTCTGATAAAGCCATTTGTGATCAGTATTTATTGTTGTTACAATGACTCAGCAGTGCACTGGTGAAGTGTTTTTGATGTATTCATGTTGCTTGTGTTAACAGTGGGAGGACACAGAAACAGCTGGTGGAGTATGTGAGGGACAGTGGAGCTCGGAGAACACCATACCAGAGGTGAGAATGGGATCTAGAGCTTCCAGATTATTGCGGACGAACGCAAAGTGAATCAAATGTGGTCATCATTTTACTGACGCATGAGATAGGAGTGTATTGTCTCTTTTTCAAACGTGCTTTCCAGTTCACACTTCTTTCGTTTTCCTCATGGCTGAATGTAACTATTAAAAAAAAAAAAGATCACGGTAAGTAATCAATGAAATTGTTTTTGAGATGAATAAATTTCTGGTAGCAACTTCTTTCTTGCGCAGTCTTCACATGCCATCTTCACAAGCATCTACTTGCTGCTTTGTGTTACTTATCTGGGATGAGCGGAGCATAACATTCCCACCACACTGATCGGTGGGTTTAAACTTAAGCACTAGCAGCTTCGTAAAGAAAGAATATGGTGGGGAAGGTTAATATTCTGTAGTGTTACCCTTCCACAGAAATTGATTTGCAACTTCAGGGCATTTGTTGGAGACATACCAGAAAGCTGGTTGGTTGTTTTATTCCTCCCTAAACTCTTTATTGACTGATCGTTTAAATGGAATGTGTTCATAGACATTGCATACTCGGTTTTAGTCCATTTCAGTCTCTGGAGTGCCACAGCACGGCTCAATGCATCAGTTGATGAAACTTGCAGCTGTTGTGTGATGCCTCAGGCAAGTTTTTAGGATGTGTTTAGAATTGTCTTCTCTTCCCGGTAGGAGGAACAGCAGAGTTCGTATGTCCACTCGCTCGCTGGCTCCTGACGTGCCAAAACAGGTTAGTAGAGAGGAGTGACTCCCTGTGATTGCAACACTTGCCGTCCTGTTTGCTGTCAATGTTGCCAGTCGCCTGTGAGTGGAGTGGGTCATTTCCATGTCCAGCCCACTTTGGCTCATCAGGCCAGAGCTTGTCCTGGTGTCTGTGGCTGGGAGAGCAGAGGAGCTCTGAAGTCGTATCTCGCTGCCCAGCAGTACTGTCATACCGGGAGTATTCTTCAGTTTTGAACCCAAGTGCTCTTTTCTGTATTCATACTGGAAATGGCCTCGTGCCTCAACATCACAGAACTGAGCCCCCTCTCTCTTTTTGCAGAGTCTGTCATTCAGCGAAAGCCTCAGGGTCCCCGGCTCCCCTTCTTCAGCCACCATCTCCTTCCACTCCCTGCACGCCGCCAGCACCCCCCCGCAGCCCGAGCCGCAGCCTGCCCGCCCACCCAGCCCCCCGAAGGAGGACTCCGCCCCGGCTGCCCCCCCGCCCCACTACGCCTTCCAAGGTGCCACTTGTAACCGGGCGGCAGGAGACTGCAGCCCCTCGTGTGTGTGTGTAGAGAGTAGCGCTCCCAACCCGCAGCCCTCCCAAAATGGCAATGATGATAATGAGCAGGGGGTGGGGGTGGGTGGGGGCGGACGGGGAGTAATCGCCAGCGAGGATTTTGACCTAGGAAACGTGAGGGCCAGGCAGACCCCGGCGTTCTCCCTCGGCACTGCACAGCTGCAGGTCACGGAGGAGTTCATAGATGATGACCCCACCGAAATCTCCTTTTTTGGTGGGGGAGCCGAAGCGTATGTTTACGGGTACCAGGGTGCCGAGCAGGACTTCCGTTTCGGCTACGGGGAGGGGGACGCCAGCCAGACGAGGGGCTACTTCCCCGGGCTGGAGGATCTGAACGGCAACCCGAATCCCTTCTCCGAGGGAGGGCTGGGCTGTTCGGAGACCAGCTCCCTCGCCAACAACCGGTCGCAGTGCAGCTCCCTGGACATCCTGCCTCTCAATTCCAACTCCGACTCCTTTTCCCTCGGAATGGGCGGCCCCGACTCTTCCTCTCTCAGGTTGCCGGGTTCCGAGAACCAGTCGGAAGCCAGTTCCATGGTGAACTTCCCGGCGTACTCAGTGCGCTCGGAGTCGAGCTCGGCCGTGCAGTTCAGCGACCTGGTGGAGCAGCTGGAGCAGCTGAGCTGCCCCCCCACGGCCACCGAGGGCTCGAGCTGCAGCAGCGACTCGGACTCGGACTGGGGCTCCGACAGCGGCCTGCCCCCCGAGCACCCGCTCTTCTTCAGCAATCCCATGGCCAATAAACCCAGCGTTGACTGCTTTCTCCTGGAGTGTCAAAACCTGGGGGCGCTGGGGCTGACCGACCCGTCGGGCGTGACCCACATCAACCTATAAAGCCGCTTTTCAGGGCTCGCTTCCTGCAATTTGGAGCGTAGCCTTATTTCGTATACAAAATCCTGTATCTATTGATCTAGGGCAAAAACGCTGATGAATTTATCCGCTGTTCATGGAGGTCATACTCGTATACCATACCTGTCCTTTTCCATTTGTAATGATTCCTTGCATTTCTTCCCCTTTGCCTTTCCTGAACTGTGCGTTTGTCTCGCTGCATGCAAATTTAGACTCCAAGTAAATTACAGCCTCTTATATACGGGCTGTTTGACTTTTTTTAGGTCTGTGCGGTGTTGCCCTTTCCGATTCAGCAGAAAAAAACGTTTGCTGCCAGTAGTGTCGAAGGACACATGCTATGTGGTGTTGGATCTGAGTAGTTCTTTAGGGGCAAAGACTCATAGCATTTTCATTCACCACGTGAAAGGAGTGTCCAGTTGGCCAATTCATGCTTCTTATCATGAAAGAATTTGTGAGAAGTGAATGGGGCTGTGAATAAGATCTTTGACTATTAAGCCATGATTTATTTACTAGTCTTGCATTGTCTTGGTCATTTGTAGCAGGAATAGATTGTCAAGAGAAATTAGGTATTTTCAGTGGCTTATATCAGGTGAGATGAGGGAGAATTCATCTGTTTTTTTTAATGATGAGCTTGTTTAAACTCATTCTTGCAGCTTTTACTGTCTTTGCATTGTTTTTGTTTTGTCGTTCCTTATAAATATGCTAGTACGAATTTGTGGTGGATGTTTTATAGTCAAATGTTTTCTTTACGTTTGTCTCTGGGTAGGGTGGTAAAGTGTTGAAGTGAAGTAGGATTTGTTTAATGTGACATCTGATTGTCAAAGTCTAGGTTGTTTGCACACTAAAGATTGTATCTTTTTAATATTGTTTAATGGAACTTCAGAGTTTTTTTTAGGTCTCTTTTCCTTTATTAGGGTCACCAGTAAGGAATTGTGTGATATGTTTTGTCTAATCCTTGAGCTATACAGTTTTTTTTTCCTACGTTTTTCCTGTTGCTGACCTTTTGATTTGTTCTGGTGCTGGTACTCTCCAATATCTAATAACCTTTATACTACCGGTGTCTTGAGTATTATCATTGCTGAAGGGTATTCTAGTATTAAACATTCAATCTTGAAATGTGATCCTTGTGGAGTTACTTCATTAAATAGGTGAATGCAGTATACTGTATGCATATACCATAGTTAACTTAACCTTAGTAACAGTATATTGACAATATGTAGACAGGGTGGAGTAGGATCCTCTTACTGCATAACACCCTGGGAATCTGAAATGGTGAAGGCAGGTTTATAAAGGTTTTTTATCCAGGCGTTACTCTGGGATTTTGGAAGTCCTATATTAAACTGAAACTTAATAGATTTGACAGTGACTAACTTTTGAACCTTTCTGTTTCTTTAATGGTTTTCTACAGTTCTTCAGTGGGGGGCACTTGGGGCGAAGATTACTTATTTTGAACCGATGTGCTGTAAAGCACTGGTTGCCACGTGGAGGCTTTCAATCTGTTTTATGAAGAGGAAAGACTGCCACCCACTGGTGTATAGTACGTCCTGCAGGATGGTTTTGCTTATCGAACTTTTCCGGTTTGCTTGTTCGAAAAACCTAGCTTAAGGTAAAGTGTTGGTTGAGATACTCGCCAAAGACCTATTGAATCTCACATTTTGAATTCTGCCTTGGATCGTGCTCCTCCTATTCTGAGGATTTAGCCTGTTGTCATACCTTTTACGAAACATTCTCTTGCCTGCCTCTGTTATCGTGTTAGCTGTATCTGTTGCTTCTAGGTGCAGGAGCAAGCATAATGGACCACGTGCAGCTCTGCATAGAAAGACTATTGTCATAAAAATTGTGCTAGAATCTGTTCCTCACATTTTGCCTGAAGCCGTTTCAGAATCCCTTTGTTTACGTTAAACCAAATGTAGCCAATTTAACTTTGTTAGAGGCTGTAAACATTAAGTAACATTCAGACCTCTTCTGAAAGAAACTTGTGCACATTTTTATAAGCAGCCTAATTCTAATCCAAACCACTGCTCTGAACCAAATGCACTATAATGTGTAGCCTTGTGAATCTCTTAATATCTTTTAGAATAATAGCCATAAAGGGTTATAAATGTTATAACATCTTGCGTAGCCTCAGAGGTTGTATGATGCCGGCTATAAAAAGCTTATTTTTAATGAAGCATGACTTATTTCTTTCAGCAGTCTGCTTTAGAAGGAGGCTTGTTTTAAACTGAATTTCTGATACACAGACATTTAAAATGAAGGGCTTGCTGCTTATTATTTGATACTGAAAAGGCATGAGGAATGAGAGGAATAACAGTATACAGATAAATATTTTTATTCTCCTGTCAGCAGAGACACAGAGCATTGGACAACCGTGGAAAATGATATATCTTAAACCTTGAAAAATGTGCCTGTGGAGGGAACTCGGCTAAACTTGAATTTTATAGTCAAACTATAGTAAATGATGCTTTAGATACTGTATTTCAGAGTGGATTTAAATGTAGAGGAAATTACCACAAGGGTGGAGTAATGTAGTAAAACCATAAAAGAAGCAGAAAAAGGAAAACAAGGTTATAATCAACATAGCAATCGCATATAGCAAGAAGTCCATTGAGTACATTTGACCAACATTCACTCACATTGGCAGGAAGTATGGTGAGATTTCAAATGGAAGGCCCTCCGTTAACATGTTGGTGACAGCTGGTGATAAATATGGGTAATTGTGCTCACAAGCAGGAATATCATGAGCTTAGGTTAGAGGTTCAGTTTGAACATGAAGGCAGTTAAGATGATTCACAATCACCTTGTAACTTGCACTTTAATTCCATATTCAGTAGCAGGTTAGGACCCGAGTAGTTCTGTTAAAATGTGTAACTTGTTACTTTTCCATACTTGCTACTTGCCTGATCAAGTTTTCTTTGGGCCATAAAGACTTTTTTTTAAGTAAGAAATTCTTCTCTGTAGAAATGAAAAGAACAGTTCGTTAAAAACTGTGACATTCCAGAATTGTGTAATATATTTAGTCTTTTTAGCTTAAGATGCATTTGGACCACTTTCAGCTCTGTAGAAACCAACTAGTACAGGAAAACATCTGAAAAGCCAAGACAGGGATGGTAACGCTCATGACTATGGCCATCATCTCTGTGAGATTCAAAACTAATCGCTACATCCTGTATCAAATTGCACTTTCATGTTGTTGATGTGAAAGAAGTTTGCTGTGAAATTATTGTAAGAGTTTGCATCTATCTTTTGTTGCTTTGTATTTTTCTTAGAGCATATAGTTAGGAATTCAGTCATCAGCCTTTTTTATGATTCCACCACTCCTTTAGTATTCAGAGCCTGTAAGAACTGCAATTTGTCTTTGGAATGAATGTTTGACTCCTGTGAAAGCTCGTCATTTCTCCCTCCAGTGGATTCTTTCTAATGTAGAGAGATATTTACTTCTTTGTTCTTGTCTGAAAGAGGGGCTTTATAAAACGTTTGAATGTTCAATACCCCTTTTGACTACATTTTCATTTTCTTTGGGGTGGAAGCCATTTCTTTAGCACTTGTGGGCGTAATGCTGCAGCAGTGGCTCTTAAACTGCACTTTCTTCTAGTCTTGTAACGAAATGATTTTTAGTACGATTGTAAGCTGAGTTAGTGTCAGCTATACCACAGATTTAGGAGAGCGAAGAGGTTCATGTGACATTGGTATGAAAGAAGTTGTCAGTGAGTTGAGAGAGGTTCTAGAAGGAGAAATCCTCCTGCTTTGAAGTGGCATTGCAGTTTCCATCCTTATAGATGTTCTGTTTGCAGGCCTTGTGTGTATCTTTGATACAGTACAGCATGAAGCTGTCTTGTGCTAACAACTGCCATGCCTGAGGTAGTATTTGAGGTGGGGGACTTTTAGTAAGACTTCTCTCCTTCCTGTGATGGAAATACCTTTTAACAAAACTGCGCTCTATTTGAGAGTTTCAGTCCAACTAGATCTGGCCTTGGGGTTGTGCCAAGCACAAAGCCATTAACATTCTGTGGCCTTTGCACTGTTTTGCACTTCTGGGTTGTTTTTTTTTGTCCCTGTACTGCTGCTGTTCTTTGCCCATCTTTCCGTGCCAGG